ACACACACACACACACACACACACACACACACACACACAAACAAACACACACATAGTGCGGGTTCCTTCTCAAAGTGTTTTCTCTGAATACTCAAATGATAATATGTGAGCACGCCTGTGATTTATTGTAAACGTTAAAAAAAACCTGAGTTACAGCAGGTTAAATGCCAGTAAGTCATTAATAGAGCCTCAAACATTTAAAAAGTACACGGTGCAAATTCATGAGGGGATTATTTCTGCAGACAACACTGCCTCCCTGTGGACAAACACCGCACTGCAGCTGCACCGAAAGCCCATGTTCCTTACAAATGTCGCAGAGGCAGCATTTTAATGTACAAATTAATGAAAAAGTATATTTAAAAAAATATAATAAAGCTGTTTCTAGTGGATGAAAGGGTCACCATGGTAACCATGCACCTGTGTTTTCCACTGCCTGACAGCAGCAATAATAATAACAACACATACTAAACCTCAAACATCAGAATCAGTTTTATTGCCATTGTCAATGAATTGGATTCACAGACTAGGAATTTGCTTCGGTGTAAATGTGCAATAGGTATAAAATATAACAAACAAAGAAAATACAACGGATAAATAATATATAATAAATATGTAAAAAACATATGTACATAAACATGGTTTGATGACTAAATTTAGCACAAAAAGAAAGGATTTTTTTTTTACTTTGGTAGATTATTTATTTATTGTAACAATGCTTCTTGGCAATAAATCATACACCAGGCACCTGACTGCCAGCACCTGAGGGTAACAGCTCWAAAACAAGTGTCARTAGCAACTGTAAAATAAGCTGTTTGGCAGAGAAGAGATGGCATTTTCATCCCACATCCTCAGCTGCTGCTCATCCCACAAATGCATGTTCCTTACAAATGTGACACGACTGAAAAGGGAAATTTACAGACTTTCCAATGGTAGACTTATTTACCAAGGAGCTTTTTTTTTTTTTTCAACAAAGAACCAGTCAACTAAACACATATTTGCTAATATTTGTGGTATAAGTCGTATAACAAAATACTGGACAATACATGGTTAAAACGTCTGATCATAACTGGTGTAAATTAGTTTTATATAAGAGAYCTGACCTTAACTTATACAGAGCCTCACACGAGAAGGGTTCAAAGACCCTTCACTTTCAGCTAAGCTATAAGGTAGGTGTTGTAGTCAAGACCAYCTAACCYAATATGTAGAGCTAATATTGACAAAGTCTTTGCGTGAGGACAGAGGAAAGAGTTTTGCTACAGAGGCAGATTACGTTAGTGAAGATAAAAGATAAAAGTTTAACATTGCACCACCTCTGAAAGTGAAGCACTGCAGAATTTACAAGTTGCTGTACGATTTCTCCTGGTTGTTGTTGTTGTTTTACAACCATGTTGTTTATGTAGACAAATTGTTTTACTTAAAATTTTGCAGACATCTACCGCTCCCAGAGAACCACAGTTCACTTTCCTGGAGTGCTGCATGCAAGTGATGGGGGTGGGGATGGGTGACAGCCAGTAACAAAAATACATGAGTCAGGTTTGGTTTGAATCAATGTGTTTTAAATCTAATGAAAACAAGATTGTTCACAAATTAATTGGACAATAATCTGGCTGTTTAGTGATATTTCCACAGTTGTGGTCTTTACTGGTCGTGAAATAAAATTCTGAGTCCTCAATGTCCGAGACTGAGTACAAATGCTGTTGAGTCCGAGACGAGACCAAGACCATCAAAAAGTGGTCTTAAGACCGGTCTTGAGACCAAGATCTCAAGTACTACAACATTACTTAAAGGAGGGTTATACTTTAAAAGTTTCTGGGTTGCTTTTTATTTTTAAACAGAAGGCTTCTGCTGAGACAGAAAATTTGCAGTAATATTACAATAAAAATAACCTCATTGCAATAAAAAAAGTAAATCAATGCATTTATCACCAACAAATTACAACTGTTTGATGGCATTAAACCACAAATCAAAGGAACATCATCTGTGACTTTGGTCTATGCGCAATTTATCTTAGTTTATAACAACGATTTCTTTTTTTTTTTTCAATGACCTTAGATTTTGAAAATGAAACCAGTACAGTTTTCATTCAACTCTAAACGTTTGATGAGTAGGTTAGAAATGTCAAAGTGATATACTAATTTAGAGCCTTTCAAAGTTTAAGTTTGTAAAAATAAATGTATCTGCTTCCTATTCACCTCATTAACAGCAGATTCAGTGTTTTCATCCAATCTACACACTGAGCATGCGCCACAGAGATCACGTTTCCTGCTGTGTCGTTAAATCTTTTTTTTTTTTTTTTTGTCATGTTGTGGACAATTTTTGTCTGAGATAATAAAGTTTGAAAAAAAATGTTGCCAAATATTTTAGTTCTTCTTTCCACCAGCAGGTGTCTCTCGTTCCTCTTGTCTCCCCTCGTCCCTGCTACAAACTCCAATGTTTACATTTCATATTTACCCACAATGCAGCGCGTCGCTTGTTTAGGTCTGAGCATTCGTTTCACACACACAATCACAACTAGCGCTGCAGTGCCTTTAATATGAATAAAGATGGGGRTTTTAATGTTTAATTTATTAATGGGCGCTTTCTCGGATAAGAAGGCTCACATTTGTATTACTTCAGCACACCATTGTTATGGAAATGTATGTGGTTGTGGTACTGCCGCAGTGCAATGTGCAGATAGACTGCAGTGCTCGTTCCGCGTGGGGCACTTTCGTGACCAAAACACGACGTCGTGCTTTTTTCTTCTTTTTTTTCACGGATTTCTAGCTGTCGGCTGTGCCCAATTTTAACTCGGAGCGATGTAATTGGTGTTGGCACATTTGTTTACCATATTTGGCAAGCGGCTGACAAAAGTGCGCGTGGGAATTGGACGAGAGGGGCCGTCATTCAGAAAAAGTCAACCTTCTGGAGCCGTACAAACAAAGCACGTGCTCATGGGATTTGTAGTCCAAAACAAACGCGGTCCGAGAACGCTTTTGCTTTTGTTTTATCTTCATCTTGTAAAGTCGGGGTCACGAATGTATCACATTTTGAAAACGTTTCTCCTTTCACGTGGCATTTTTGTTTAATAAATGCTTAAACTTGAGTATTTACCCCGCACCCGATAGCTAAACACAAACCGATAGCAGACCCCTCGTGCGCAGCATACAAATCCCACAGGCGGGTGCTGCCAGTTGATTGGCTGAGAGCAGCTGTCAATCAGGAAACATCCTTTCCACTACCACTCCAACAGTAAATATTTGTGTTTGCTCAACCGGCTGTAATGGTGGACGAGTGAGGCAGAGAGACGGATTACAACTAGAGAGAATAAAGAAGTGGGGGGAGAGAAAAAAAACCTGTCGAAAGTCTGCTTAGAGCCAGAAGCCGCGCGAAGTGAAGACACGGGCTTCGTCGAAAATGGATGAACTCAAACATCAAGTCATGATTAACCAGTTCGTCCTGACGGCGGGTTGTGCGGCGGACCAAGCGAAGCAGCTTTTGCAAGCGGCACATTGGCAGTTCGAGGTAAAGCAGACAAAAACGGGGAGGGGGGGCGACSGTTTAAAGTCGACATGATAGCATTAGCTTATCAGCTAATGTTTATGTCTGTCCGACCAGTAGTTTTGTCTCGTGCTCGTCCTTGCTAGCTGCTCGCTTCCTTCCTTTCGTTACATTTTGTTCGCYGACACAAAACAAAAGCTGCCGGACCGAAACCGAGAGCACCTTTCAAGTCTGAATTGGAAACTTCAGTCTTAGTTACCGAGTAATTTCTCGGTTTAAGCCGGGGTGTAACTAAGAGTGCACACTGGAAGGACAAAGCTTAACCAATTAGACTTCACCCCAGATTAAAAACTATAATCCGACACATGACAGACAAGTAGAGGCGAGGCCGGAGGACTCCTACGTAATGTCGATGACCACCGAGTTACCGACTAGCCTACAAATGAACACTTTTTATATTATTATTGAGCTGAATGCAGATTTCGCTTACTCCCCTCTCCTTTGTTGTTCAAATGCTCCTGTTTCCTAAAGCACCACTAACTGTTTACCCAACCCTTCCCTACGCCATAAAATKATGTAATCCACTGTCTGTGTTTCCTTTGTAGACTGCCCTCAGTGCCTTCTTTCAAGAAACAAATATTCCATATGGCCATCATCATCATCAAATGGTGAGTGGTGGCGTTTAAAACGCATTCGATTTATCTTATTTATTATCAAGCCTAATTTGATTATTTTCCCTCAATCTAGTGTCTCCCTTTTTAAAAACCATCGTGTTTTGAGTGATGTAGGAGGCTATAAAGCAGTCTTTGAGTCTGCAGGAGACGATGTTGTACTAACAATAACAAAGCACATGTCGGCCATGTTGTGAGCTTCCAGAAATAAACACAGCCAGGCATGCAGCAGCAGCAGAGAGAGAGAGGGGGGAAAAGACTCACTGTGTACATTCAGAGGTGTCAG